TACAGTGCAGTGATCAAGCCTCTACCCCATCTATGATGCGGTCTCCCTAACAAGATGTGACCACCTGACACCCTACAAAATATTTACAACATTATTAATTATATTTCTCGAACTGACTTTCATATCCCTGTGGCAATATTGTAGTTACCTATTTATGCTGTCTAATCCCTTCCCCTTCTCCCTCATCCCCACTCCCCTCCCAACTAACAGCCATCAGTTATTCCTCTATATCTCTGAGACCATTTCTGTTTACTTTCCTCGTTCATTCAGATTTTAGATTCCACATATTAAGTGGGATCATATGGTATTTGTCTTTCTCTGACTGACTTATTTCACTTAACATAAGAGTCTCTAGGTCCATCCATGTCGTTGCGAATGGAACGATTTCATTCTTCTTTATAGCGGAGTAATACACCATTGTATAAATGTACCACAGTTTCTTAATTCAGTCGTCTACCGATGGGCATTTCGGTTGTTTCCAAGTCTTGGCTATTGTAAATAGCACTGCAATAAACATATGGGTGCATATATTTTTTTCGAATTAGCGTCTTGGGTTTCTCTGGATTTGATACCCAAGAGTGGAATTGCTGGGTCATACAATAGTTACATTTCCAATTTTTTGAGATACCTTCATACTGATTTCCATAATGGCTGCACCAATCTGCAGTCCTACCAACAGTGCATCAGGGTTCCCTTTTCTCCACAGCCTCGCCAGCACTTGTTTGTTGATTTATTGATGATAGCCATTCTGACCGAAGTGGTATCTCATTGTGGTTTTTATTTGCATTTCCCTAATGATTAGTGAGGTTGAACATTTTTTCATATGCCTGTTGGCCATCTGTGTGTCCTCTTTAAAGAAATGCCAGTTCATATCCTCTGCCGATTTTTTAATTGGGCTGATTGTTTTTTTGGTGTTGAGTTGAATGAGTGTTTTATAAATTTTGGATATTAACCCCTTATCAGATATATCATTGGCAAATATCTTCTCCCATTCTGTTTTATTGATGATTTCCTTTGCTGTGAAAAAACTTTTAAGTTTGATGTAGTCCAATATGTTCATTTTTTCTTTTATTTCCCTTGCTCGAGGGATATCTCAGTAAAAATATTACTGAGGGTAATGTCTGCAAATTTACTCCCTATGTTTTCTTCTAGGAGTTTTATGGTTTCAGGTCTTACATTTAAGTCTTTAATCCATTTTGAGTTTGTTCTTGTACATGGTATAAGTAGGTGGTCCATTTTCATTTTTTTGCACTTGTCAGTCCAACTTTCCCAGCACCATTTATTAAATAGACTATCTTTACTCCAGTGTAAATTCTTGCTTCCATTGGCATAGATTAAATGACCATATATGGATGTGTTTTACAGTTATAATTGATACTGTGTCTTAAAGGATAGTGTCCCAGGCCGCCTATTAATCTGATTTAATCTTTTTCAAAAATTTACTGTTTCATGACATGTCTACATTTATATTTGCCTTGGTTAAAACTACATATTTAATATTTTATCACAATTTTTTTTAAAAAGAGAAAATCATTGGATTTAGAACACTATTATTGTTAACAACTATAGGTTTCTTGTAAATTAAGATTTTTAAAGTAGGACAAAAATTATTAAGGAAGTTCTCTGAGAACTAGTCCTGACTCCACCTATTCTGTTTCCTCTTCACCCTCCTTGGAGCCATCTTGGAGCTGTGCCCCTCTCAATCCTTATTATTAATTTCATATTCTTGATTTTCTTGGGGAACTGTATTTATCCTGTGATATAGTATTAAAGAGTAATCCTAACTTCTAGCCTTCCAGAGAATGGACAAATAATTCCATGTAGACTCACACAAGTTATGTTCAGATAAGATAGCCAGTAGTAGCTTCATACATACATTCAAGAAGTTCTGAGTCTCAGATAATTGAAATGAAAGTGAAGATGATGAGTGCTGGGTAAAGGTATTAAGTATTGCAGAGAATGTCCTTTTGATGGATACTGAGACCTTAAAAATGTATGAAGAATTTGAATAAGTTACTTGGTATGTAAAATTGAAAAAAATAGTATATTTTAAACAAAATATTGTTAATAAATGTAGCCAAATTAATAAATAAAAATTACCAATAGATATTTATCAGTTTTTTTCAAATCCTTAAATGCTTTGATTTCAATTGAGTGAAAAAACTTCTGGATTTTCTCATTGGTAAAATGGAGAAATGTTGTGTGTTTGGGTATAGATGATAGATTGCAACTCTTAAAAATGCAAAGCCATGACCGGTGTGTTCCCTAGAAGCTAACTCTTTATGTTTTAGGCTTCTGTCTTCTGTGCCAGTTTGTCCATTTCCTTCTACAAAAGCCGTGTGTATCTTCACATAGCTTGGCTTATCTGCCTGACTCTCCTTCTGGCTCCCAGTTGCTCATTTCTTCATTGTCGCCACCTTCCACTTCCTCCCAACCGTTTATTGTATCTAGTCACTGGTGAGATTAAACACCCACTCTCAATTCTTCAGGTTTCTCTGGTGAGAGTTCTTCACTGGCTTATTGAATGAGTACCCAAACCACCTTTTTTCTGATCTCACATGCTTGTCATTGTTGTTATTCCTCCATGTTCAGAGAGCATGCCCCCAGAGGTGACCTTCCTCCTGTTAAGGTGACCTTCCTCCTGTTAAGGTGCTCTGGATCCAGCAATTGTGGCTTCTCTCCCTTTTAAGCTAGTAGACCATCCTCCTGTCTTCAAGAAAGACTCCCTGCTCTCTGTTGGGCCCTCTATTTGGGGCTGTCAGGAACTTTTTTTAATCTATTTGAGAATGCAAGTCTGCCTGAAGTGAAGAAAAACAGCATGCTGGTATGTGTTATACCTAATGTGCCTTCCTACCTTAAGAAATGGCAAGTGCATTTGTGGTTTTCCATTCTAAATATGCCCTGTGATTTCCACAACCTCTTGAATCAATTGCTACGAATCAATTGCACTTTTTTCTTGGAAAATCACTTCTTACATTTGATTTGAAGGGAAGTATGAATGATTGAAAATAGTAATGTATTCCAAAAATCTGTGCTATCTATTAATTTAGTTATTAAAAATTCAGAAAATTAAGCCTTAATTTTTCTAAAGGAAGATTTGTACCTAATGGTTTAAACTAATATGTCTCTATAAGATTTTAATATATAATGAACAGAATTAGCATTCTTAATTGTGCCTTATGATGCAATGTAACAAATTCTGCATGATGAAATTTTCTTTTGTGAGAGTATGGTCCACTGTTTTTTCATTGATGTGAAATTTTCTTTTGTAAGAGTCTGTTCCACTATTTTTTCATTGATTACCTTTTTTTTTTTCTGTGTTATATAGGGAATGACTCTGCATAAAAAGGCAGCTGAAGATAGACTTGCTAGTACAGGTTCAGGGCAGTCCTTCCTGGCCAGGCAAAGACAAGCAACCAGCACAAGAAGATCTTACCCGGGCCATGTTCAGCCAGCCACAGCAAGGTAGACAAGTCTTGCCACTAGAATAAAAAACACTGCATTCAAAACATACTTCAGTTACATATAACAGCATTTCAGGAAATTCAGCCAGCTTATTCTTTGTCTCTATTTTATGTTACTATTTAGTTGTTTCCTACTTGAGGAAGTTCTCTCACCTGTGTCTGTATGTTTTAGTTTCTTGGTCCTTTATTTTGTAGTCCTTTCAGTTCCTTTTAATGTGCCAAAAAATTTTAAATGCCCAATTAAAAGTGTTGTATAATAGTGTAGTACTTTTCTTTGTATGAAAACGTCCTTTCCCCAGTGGTGTAAGCTTTGTAATGAATTAGAATTTCTGCCAATAATTGATATACAATTTATATTCTTTATTGTGCCTCTGTGTTACCATGCTTTATAAGAATGTCTTTGTTTAAAGGGAATTAATCTTTCTATGATGTATTAATCTGTGTTTTCAATTGTTTTTCAAATGCACTTCAAATAACTTGCATACTTACTATATAAAATGAATGGTTGGCAAGGGCACTTTTTGCAAAGACATAAATAAATACAATACATTGGCAGAGGTGCTAGTCAGATCTCACCCAGGCACCTGAGAGAATTATTTAGTGGGAAAAAATAAGTTTTCACATTGTTTTATAAGAAATTAAATTTGAAGATTTGGAAACTATTTTTAAAACATAAATACATAGAATGTTATTATTTCCTGCTATATTATTGCTGGCAAAAGTGAATACGTTGGTTAGGTTATTTGGGGAGAAATTACAGAAGGAAAAGAAAGATCAGGCAGTGCATTAATTTTGTCTTCCTTTGGAATATCACAGTAACTGAGGATCAAGTTTTGGCAACGTGGCTGACATTTATGGTTTCATTTGCCTTCCACATCTAAAATATTTATTTTTCATATACTTACAAGTAACTTCCCTTTGGGGCAATTTCCTTGTTGCCTTGTAGTTCATGTGTTTTACTTATTCATTAATATAAACCCTTCTATACTTAACACCTTAATATCAGTCATTAAGATCAATAAGTGACTTTTTATGTGATTTTATGACAAGTCTCCTTTACATTTTGTCTCAATTCTATGTATTAGTCCAAGAATTTGCTACTGAACAGATTCTCTTAGGTATTTGGTTTCCTCAAAGTGCTTAAATTTATTGATAGATTGTAAACAATGTTATTTACATTGATGAATGGCTGCCAAGTCATAATGATTGTAAAGCACTTTGACTATATAAGGTGCTATATAAATGTAAAATATCATTTATTTGAAAATGGAATGCCTCTGCCTTGACTTTACATATTAACTTAAGTATTTGGTCCCCAATTATATTTAAGCTCCCCTCCAGTCTTTTTCTTGCACCATAGCCCATTTTTTAAAGCAAAAAAATTACTGAAATTAGGTTGATTGTTGTTCTTCTTGTTTATTTGTTTGTTTTTGTTTTTAGATAAGTCACCTAAAGAGAGGATTTTATTTCATGTACTTGCTATTTGAAAGTTCAGGTTTCATTTAGTTCTGTATATTAAATACAAATTAGTAACTTGAAATCAAACTAAAATAAGGATTTTCAGAAATTGTATTCAAATGTTTGATTTTAAATCCTTTTTTTTATAAGAAAATTGAACTAAAAATTAGTACTAAGTGTTTTCATTTGTCCTCAGAAACTACTTGCAGAAAGGATTAGAATATACACAGAAATGACTGTGCATTGTGCTAATTTTTACATTAAGTACAGAAGTCTAAGTGCAGTGTGAATACTTCTGCCTGATAAGACCGTAAAGCAGGAAGAATTAGTAATAATTGAGAGAACCCATGTGAGTAGAATGCATTGTGGGGTTTCAGGAGGCTAAGCAGACCTAATCAACATAGAAAGTTTTGATAACAAAGGATCAAAAACTATTTAAGGTGGTTCTAACCCTCAACTCCTCGTTTCACAAATAGCATAAGGATTCAACTGCTTTAAAACAGGTCATGAACACTAACTGTAGTAAAATTAAAATTATTGGGAAATTATACCCAGAGAGTAAGGTAGATGAACATAAAAGAGTCAATGAACTATTCATTAAAATGATTATATCCCATGAGATAAGAGGTTTTAATTTTAGTTTTCTATTTACTGTCCTAGTCTTGGTCTCCTTCCCACCCACCTACTCAGATATAGTCCTCTAAATGGGTTAGAAAGGTCCCAAACTTTTAGAAGGAAGTTTTGCTTCTTATTTTTCTTCAGCATCTGTTACATGCTATTATTTTGGTGTTTACATTCATAATTTTCACTCCTTTTAGTGTATTACTTTCATTACATAGAAGAAATTGTATTTCTAAACATTCTATGATGTTAAAAACAGCAGAAATGAAACTTAGCTGTAACAGTGACAAAGCTGTTTCCCTTGCTCAGCTTTGGAAAGGATTTATGAAATTTCTGTGGATCTAGTAAAGGTTAATAATTTCTCAGAAGGTTTGTGATGATCCATGGTCTATCTGGAAGTTAAAAGACATTGGTTGCTTTATTTAAATATGAGCTATGCTGTGCTGTATTTTCACAAGCTCCCTAGCTATGGCAGCCTCATGAAGCCACAGTTCGCTTGGACAATGGAGCTAGTCCTGGCCTCAGCAGTGGAGTAAGTACATTGTTATTGCATGAGGTTGGGGTGAGCCATCAGCCTAGTGTTTGAATTCTTACAAACAAAAAGCCTATTTTCTGTATCCTTCTAACAAGGGTAAGAAAATACAAAGTAAGTAACTAAGGAATATTAAAGCCTAACTTTTATGTTCTGCAGTGTGTATTTAAGAAGTTCATAATGGGGAAAAAAATCCAGCAAATATTGTAGTCTATCTTATCTAAAAAGAGAATAACCAGTACAGTTGTACTTAAAAGAGCTTTCAAAAATTCAACCATATCTTTTTATCATTTGTCCAATTACTTGATAATAACTAAGAAAAAGAAGTTCCTAAATAAAGGACCCGTGTTCCAAAATTGAGCAAGATTAAATTATTTCTATTAGATAGCCTTAGCCTGGTAAAATTGGCTTAATGGGGTGATTAAATTATAATAAGGAACTGTTGTCTGTGATTTTCTTGAAGTTTGGTTTTTTTACAAAATTAATGGTCAGTTGTACAAGATTAAGCTAAATGTTATCTAGTCGCCAACATCAGTCTATATATTTCATTAGTTTTCACAAAGGCACGAAAGTCCATGCTGTGCCAATGGATCAGCGATAAGTGAAAGATGTTAAGTCGAAGAAAGGACATTTTATCTATGAGCTAATTTAGTCACAGCTCCTTATCAATAACCGTTTTGTTCATTCTTATTAACTAATGATATGAAATATTTTTGAGTGTCTGTTACTCTCAGACAAGCATTCATCTTTGAAAGATAGTACCACGTTAAAAATTTGAAAATGTTTTCCCCAATATAAAAATTGTCTTGAAAAAAAATCTAAAATTTTTAAATTATCTTAACAGTTTGCATCTAATCTCCAATTATCCAGATCTGACTCCAGGAATGTTACTGTTATCCTCAGTTGGAACATGTGAGATTTATCTGAAAAAGCATCCACAGCCCACACAACTTGTATCAACCTAGCTAATTCACAGACACGAGGATCAGAATATCTGTGATCCTAAAGTGAGAGGAAAGTGCCTGGCATTTTGCTTTTCCTAAGGGCAAAGTAACAACCTTAAGAAAAAGTGCTTTTTATTGTCTATTCATTAAACTATGGAAGGATATTTTGACTTTTTAGCTTTGTATTATGAAGGGACTTTTTCACTAGAAATGGATGTAGCATTGTACTTCTTTCTCAACAGCAAAACCTATGTGATGTCCTAAAGTACGATGAAAGAGTGTACTCAACAAAAGAAAAATGGAATATCAGAAACTTCAAAAATTATTTTAGCATTTTTTAAATTTTTCCCTTTTTATAAATTAAAAGGGTTTTCCATTCAATAATGATAATCTCTTTTCCTATAGTCCCCACTGTCAAAATGGCAGCTTATTTTGGTAGTTATACAATCCAGTTTCATTACATTTAGAAAGTGGTTTCAGACCTTATTCTTTGTAACTATAATGATTTAATATTTTATATCATGGAGTTTTTATATGAGGAAGGCTATTCTCAATGTATCTGTCATCTAATTTTTACTTTCTATAAAGCATATTTAAATAATGATTGGTGTACGTTCCTTTTATTGAAAAATTTGGAAAGGTTTTATTGTCTAATTTCAGCACAATAATTTTATTGTCCTAAAGTTTTGCAGTAAATATTCATTTATCAAAAGCCAAAAAAACATGAAATAATTCATTACTGACACAGCTAACTTCTACCCTTCCCCATTCCCTCAAATCACGGAAGCATTAATATTTAGCTTCCTTAAATCACTGATTATGTTCTTGGGAAGTATGTACTGATTATTTTGTTTTTAAACAGCCTTTTAGCAATCCAATTCATGTGTATTATCTTTATGAAAACAATATATATATTTATCGTTATCTTGAAATATACTTGGATTCTTCCCATTGCACTTACAACGATAGAAAAGGGACATTAGTTTATTTGAGAAACTAGAGACCTGAACCTAATTATGGCAAGTATATGAGTTTTGGCAATTGTGAGGGATCTGCTAGCGTTTCCTAACAAGTGTATATCAGCCATTATGTAATGTCTCTCTTCAGTATTTTCCTGTTTTCTAATATTTTCCAATAATATTCTGTAAGATAACTTTGTATGCTGTATATAAATGAGCATAGAAATCTGACAAAGAAACAAAACTGCTGTTAAGGCAAATCCATTGCTAGAGAGTAGAGTGGATTATCAGGATAAGAAATGGCTTAATTATAAACAAATATCCAGACAGATAGAAGTACTGACTACAGTTAAAATTTACACTGTCTTAACAAATGTTCTTAAAGTAATAGTTTACATAAAATCATCTGACTTTTATTACATGATCATTTAAAATGAGTAGACAAAAATAGCATTTTCTTATGGTCCTTCCCTTCAGTGGGCATGAACTTGGCATACAATATAAACTGGATATGGAATCGGTGGAAGGGAAAGCATCTATTTTCATTTTAAAACTGTTAACCTATTACTAAACCTAAGGTGATGATTTAAGGCCATTAAGGATACTATAATTTGATGAGATGAGAAGAAATCTGTGATGGCTGAGAATCACTACCGACTTCTAACAGTTATCTAGATCTGCTTCTTTACCTAGTTTATAAACAGAGGCTCAATTTTATGTTTCCCCTTAATTATACATAGTAGCTACACAGAAAATGTTTAAAGTGAAAGCAAAAGTGGACATTTGAAAAAGTATATTCAAGGAGAGCCCTTATGTACCTGATACATTACCACCAGACTGTGAATTAGATGTTTAGGGTCTAAAGGTGAAATCATCAGAGAAGGTATCCATAGCCTCAAAATTTTAGGCCCTTGGCGCTCTCAAATATCCTGGATTGTATCTACTCAGAGTTTAAAGGAACAATTAAGTGTCATGAGAAGAACAATCTCAAAGCGAGAAAAAGGAAACTACCAAAGCATGCTTGGGCTTTAATAATGTATGTGGGAGACTTCTGGGCAGATTTTATCAGTTTAGAGATCTCTAAATTGACAAAGGAAAATAATTAGTTTAACAGTTATATTGTAAAATTAATGAAAGGGACTCGTTTATTCTTGGTATATTTGTCCACCTTTGGGCAGTGAAAACTGTATATACTTTGTATCGTATGTTTATATATGTCACTATTAGAGATGAGTATCTTAATATTATTTACTGTTATTCCTAATCATTTATGTATTATTTATACTTCACTGTAAGATTCACAGCACTTTACTAATATTAGATAATTATTTTCCTTGTACCTTTCTGTGGCATGTTCTGTTTAAATCTTTTCCACTGGGGTTCTTTTCCTTATTTTGCAACACTCACTAAGAGAAATACAAAAGATTGCCCAAACAAATGGGCTATGTACTCTTCCTGAAATTTTTAAAGTTCAATCTGAAGTTCTAAGTCTGGAAATATAGTTGAAGCTGGGTTGGGGCAACTAGGCATGAGATACATTTTGTATTTCACATTAATAAGACATTTTTTATAAAAAGTTAATAACTCATGAAACTAAGTTCTCCTAATGTAAACATCCTTGAAACTTTTTGTTTTCTGGAGTTGCAGTAATAAAAAGTAAACAATCTTCTGGTGAATCAGAAGATGCTCTTTCCTTTGATTTCCCTGTCCTAAAATACAAACCTACAAACTGCCCTTGACTTTCCTAATTTCTTCATTATTGCATATACCCAAGGACAGGATAAAGATAGCCAAGTTCCAGGAGCTGTGAAGTCAGAGAATCTGGAAAGGGGTGGAGTGAGGTGATGGGAAAAGGCAAACACTAAAGATGGCAGAATACTACAAAAATATTCTTAGTTCTACATAACAAATATGCTTTATGAACTTAGCCATTTTCTTAAGTTCTAATATAGCAAAGTTATTTTGGCTTCTTCTATTGAGAGATGTTTCTAGGTGTCAGGACTCTTCCATTTGTAACAAATATATTAGTATTCAAATCATAGTCCAAAAGTACTGAAATATTTGTTGTTATATTGATATATATGATTACTGCCAAAGAATAGAAAGATTTGCTCATAAGAACATTCTCTTAGAGTTTTGTTTTATTTTGTGTTTTCAGATGAGAGAAATGTTTTCATAGTGTGAACCGTTTCTGAAATATTTTCTTCTGTGGTACCCACTACTCTAGTGGTATGCTTTGCACAAGCAGGTCCCCTAGAAGAGAGCAGCACTGAAATAGAGAAGTCTTGACTCTGACCTTTGAGAGAAGAACTGCTTTTTGTCCTCCCAAAGTAAAAAATTAAGCACTCTTCTGCCACACAAAGACAAAATATGTTTTGAATATCTACTAATTAGTTGTGGAATAGATAGGTCTCCTAATTGTCTTTATCATCCACTGGCTTCTTGTTAATCTAGATAAGAGTAGATTTCTAGACCTGCATTTTCTAATTCATTAGCCACTAGCCACATGTGACAATTTAAATTTAAATTAATTATAATTAAATTTAAAAAAAATTTGGTTCCCCAGTCACCTAGACACACTTTAAATGCTTCAGTAACCACATATGGATAGTGGTTATCATACTTTTCAACACAAATATAGAACTTTTTATCATCGCAGAAAATGCTTTTTGCCAGTGCTGTAATACCCAAAGAGAAAATAAGGACAAAATAAAGGTATTCAGTTAACTTAGGATAGCTCTTCGATTTTACCACAATTGTTGAATAGAGCTATTTTTCTTATTAAAATTAACACCAGCCCTTTTTAAAGACCTTGGAAAAATTAAAACCTCATTCTTTGAAACTTTTGTTCAGTATGTATTTTTAAACAGATTCTCAGCACTTTACTTTTCAAGTAATATAATTAAATCATTTCATAAGTCATAACTTAGTATCTTCAGGATTTTTTCGTCTTTTATGTAGTGTTTTAACATTGAGGATACATGGTTTCTAACTCTTATGGAGCAGAAACTGATGAATGCTTATTTACAAATAAAAATTGATAAACACATATTCTTCTTTTTAGTTACTTTTAAATCTATATAGATCTAATGAAAGTTGCCAACAGTTTTTTGTATTTATCCCTAAAATCACATTCGATTATTTTCCACTTTAAAGATATATCAGGGTCTAGATAATTTCTTTGGTTTTCTTCATAGTTTCTTGCTCTTAATAAGTTGAATTATGAATTAAGTTTTATGTATGCAGCAAATATTTTATTCCAGTGACATAGCTAATGAAACATGTTTTAATATTTACTAATTTACTTGGCCTATTACTAAAGCACTTACCATACCTAAAAGGACCTATAGTAATTCATCTGAGTTTTTTAATGAAAATAAGAAACTAATCATAATTCTTTTGAGTCAGCTTGGTCCTTAGTTAAAACTATCCTGTTAAGGAAGTCATGATGCTTTCCTCTTCCTTTTAAATTTTTTTTAATCAAGCAACAGACTTGTTACAGTATGTCAAATTCCAAGCAAATTATGATGAAATTCTTATTGTTGTTCAAGTTCAGATGAATAAACAGTGTGATTTGAGCTTATGATTTTCTTGGTGACCTAATTTAATGTGTGTTCTACAGAGACTCATACTAGTTAAGGGAAATTTTCAATATGCTTGAAATAAGAAATAGCATTTTAGTTTAAATACAGGAAATGACTGTACACAAATATCAATCAATTATTTGAGGCCTTCTAATTTTTTTTTAATAATAGCCTTTGTTTTTTAATAGCCTTAGTTATTTAAAATTCACATGCACTAAAATGTTATTGCTGTCACTAACTTTGCTGTTTACAGGTTATGTGTAATTCAGAATGCTTTGTACTCCAAGGAATGATTTCCAGGTTTATCTTATTTTGCAGTTTTCATATTTTGACAATTGCCCCACCATTTATAACACCCAATTTTTAGTTGTATAATGAATGGTAAAATTCAAACACATTTAATAATTTGCCTTATTTTCATTAATAAATTCTATTAAAGATTTGGGGCTAGAAAGAGGCTTTTTTTTTTTTCCTAGAGTAGTTTTTAAACTTTTCAGATGAGCTGAAAAACACCTTAGTACATTGGAGTTGGAGTTGTACTGATTACAGTCCCAGCTCTGAAGCCTTATACTCATGTCTTAAGTATCATTGATCTGTGAATTGTTAGTTTCATATTTGACATTGTAGTTATCCACCTTGCAGTTTAGCCTTTGCAAGAAAAGGATATTGCTAGGTATTTTTATTTCTGGTTGACTATTGAATTTATAATTTCACAATTTCATTCTTTGTCATTATAATCCAAAAATGAAATCCACACAGGACTCTAAATTTCTCACTTCACAAATGGAATCAACACAGATTTAGCAACATTGTACATAGTGGCATCCAGTATTTTTTCACCTGTTTACCAAGTTTAGAGCCATTTACTGTGTGTTAGATTGGTGGATTTTCTCAATGTTTACTGAGGTGAATGACTTCTTAAGAGAGCCTCAGTAAGAAATTTTTACTAAAGTCACAAAATATAAGGTCTAAGAAACCACAGAAGACAGATTTTTAATTGTTTTGAAATCTTACATTTCCTTTTGATATCACTTAATCATTTTAATTTTATGACTGCCAACTTGTTATGGTATTAATTATATGTATATGTTTATATGTATGCATATAATATATGTATATGAAGAATAAAGTTAAGATTTGGTCAAACTATATTTTCCCATTCAAGTACAAAAATGTTTTCAAGGCTGCAAAAAGTGTACAGTTGTTAAAACAAGTTGTAAATAAAGACTTGTATAAAAATTCAGCTGAGATTTTTTTTGTCTGCTCTTATACTGTGACAAACAAATATTTAATAATTGTCTAATAGTATTTGTCCACTTGTCTTTGGCAATCGACATAGCATCCTATCAATTTAAAGAGTATGCCACTGATTTATTGTAAATCAGGAATATTCTCTGAATCTTTTTTTAGTACCTATGATAGATTTTGTTTTCATTTAGGCTGGTACCTAATGTTTGTAAACTGATTGTCCAGAGCTCTTAGGGATAAAAGCTAAACATGGGTTCTCCCCTCTTAGAATTGTCATGTTAACATGATCAATCTTACCACAGACAGTACAGCAAGAACTAATGGTAGAGTATTTACATTGTTTAACAATATAAAGCATTGTTAGTGGTCTACATAGGCAATACGTGCCTTTTCCTGCCTTGTAGACCCTTACAGTTCACCCTTTTTCCCACCTCCACCATAAACATTGAAATAGGGCATCTTCAGTGTTATGTAAAGTGGTAATAGTGTGAAAATTGGTTATATTTACAATTAAAGTAATCAGCTGAGTAATTCAAAAGTGAACTTAGCACCAAGATTTAGAAAACTAGTATGGACATAGCCAAAATAGTGCTCATTTTAATGCATTTAATGTGACATTTGAATATTGGAAAGATATGTTTTCTTCACTCATTAACATGAAGGCATCCATACTAAGTTTAGCATTTATTGAGTGTGTCCTGGGTATTTAATACTGAATCAAAGGAGAAAGGGATGAGATGGTAGGTTGAGTCACAAATTAAACCAAAAAGTGTCTTGGGCCAGCTGAGTGGTGCGTTGTGTGCAGTAGGGCCCCAGTTTGGATCCCACATGATGGCCAGTGATGCTTCGCCCTCTACAGCTAAGATGGTGAACAACAGCTCAGCTTGGAGCTGGGATGCCATGAGTTGCCGGCAACGGCATAGGCTGCAGCTCCTGCTGCAGTGGGCTGCCATAAGCTACTGTGAGTGGCTGGCAGCCAGCATGAGCAGCTGTCCAGAGGCCGGCGACCGATCTGCCTCACCCGGGAAGAGCGCAATGATGGTACCAACTTGGGCCAGTGAAGCAACGTCCTCCACAACTAGACTGAAGAACAAAAGGACAGCAACTTGTCTGTTCTCCTTCCCCAGATTCCCCAGTACTGTTCCCCTCTCCCAATTCCCCAATAAAATTAAAGAAAAAAAATGTCTTGGCCTTCAAAGATTTGTATGATCAAATGGGACACACCGTAGAAGAGTTCCCAAATAGAAGTATCCCAGCTGAAAGTCTGCCAGTTTTCCTCAGTTTATTTATGCTACTTTTCTGGTTATTGCTACATCACAAACCACTCCAAAACTTGTGGCTTTAAACAATTTATTCTCTTTCTGAGGTCTGGAGAAAGGCCTCATTCAGTTGCAGTTAGATGATGCCTGAAGCTCGAGTCACCTGCAGGCTGTTCTCTCACCCCTTTGGTGCCCTGACTGATATGGACAGAACACCTGAGGGCCGATCAGACAACTCCACATGACTAGTTTGGACACTCACAAAAGGAAGTCTCTGGGAGATGGACTTACTACACTCAGCTAGCAGTCTTCTCAAAGACCCAGGTGAAAGCTTCAAAGTTTCTTAGGACCTACCCTAGGAAACTGCACAGCATCACTTCTCTTTTTATTTGTCAAAATGGTCACAGACAAGATCAGGTTCAAGGGGCTGACTGCATACAGTGGAGGAATAGCCAGGTTACCACAGCTACAGTTCTGGATTCAAAGAGAAGGAAGATTTCTGCTATAAAGATTGTACTTCTGAAGTCAAAGTCTTTCCCCGTTTTCTAATTGCTGTGCCAAGTGCATTAACAGTAGTGCAGAACAATGAGGTACGTATTATAACTTCATGTAACTTCAGTGTGAACAAAACTTCAGATAGATACTACATAGAACTCTGGTAAGTTTGAAAAGCTGCAAATACACAAGTACTTATTTTGACAGGTATCTAATTGTATGTGACATGAGCTGGAAAGTGTTTCTACCTCCTAATCTGGTAGGTAATTTTGGGGACTATATTTTAAGGAAGTTGTCTAAAATATGAATGTATAGTGATGAACATTTGCCTGTTGATGGGCATTTGAGTTGTTTACAGTTTGGGGCTCTTAACAAACTAATGTTTGTTTACAAGCCTTTATATGGACATGTGCTTTCATATCTCTTGGGTAAAAACCTAGAGTGGAATGGCTGGATCACATGGTAGGTGTATGCTTAATTTTTTAAAAACTACCAAACTGTATTCCCAAGAGGTTGTGCATTTTATATTCCCACTAGCAGTGTATGCTAGTTCCAGTTCCTGTATATACTCGCCAAGTAATACTTGCATCCTTCTTTTTGATTCTAGTCATCATCCCACGGGTGTAAGTGGTATCCTACTGTGGTTTTGATTTGAACAGTTCATTTAATTTTAGCCACTCTAACCGGTGTATAATAGTATCCTGTGGTGTTCATTTGTATTTCTCTAATGACTCATACAGTCAGGGCTGTAGTCATCTCAAGGTGGACTGGGGGAGAATGTACTTCCAAGTTCACTTATGTAGCTATTAGCAAGCTTCAGGCCCTTGCTAGCTATGGGCCAGAGATGTCAGTTCCTTTGCTATATGGACCCCTTCCGTAGCACAGCTCACAAGATGGCAGTGTGCTTTCTCCAGAGTGAGAACTCTGAGAGACATAAAGGTGGGGGAGGGGGTAAACATGTTGGAAGTCACAGTCTTGTAATCTGATGTGACATCCTGTTATTTTGCTGTATTCTATTCATAAGAAGTTTGTCACAATGCCCAGCCCACACTCAAGGGAAGTTATTATACAAGGGCATAAACACCAGGAGGGTGATCATTAGGGGCCATCTTAGAGGCAACCTGCCACAGCTTCCAATAAGAATCTTCTCTCATCCTTGTTTATTCTTCTGTACGTGATGTGTCTTTTTACTCTGGCTGATTTTAAGATTATCACTGGTTTTAAGCAATTTGATTTTGATCTGCGATTATGTATATTTCTTAACATTTCTTGTGCTTGGGGTTCATTGAGTTTAATGGATCTGTACTATATAGGTTTATAGCTTTCCTCTAATTTATAAAAATTGCAGCCATTGTTTCTTCAAATACTTTTCTATCTCCCTGCTCTTCCTCTTTGGGAACTCCAATTACACATATATTAGTGAGCTGAAGTCCCATGGCTCAATGATGCTCTGTTAATATCTTCAGTTATTTTTTTCTCTGTCTTTCATTTTGGGTAGTTTCTATTGCTGTGTCTTCAAATGCATTAAGCTTTTGTAATGTCTAATATGTTATTAATGCCATCCATTGTACTTTTTGTCTAAAGATTCTATGTATGTGCACTTAAAATCAATCCCACAAGTGGTCGATAAGCATATTAAAAGATGCTCAACATCACAAATCATTAGGGAAATGCAATTCAAAACCATAATGAGATACCACTTTGTACTTAGGATGGTTATCAAGAAATAACTAGCATTGGTGAGTATGTGGAGAAATTGGAGCCCTTGTGTAGATGCTGTGGAAAACAGTTCCTCAAAAAATTAAACAATTACCATATGATCAAGCAACCCCATGTCTGGGTATATACCCAAAGGACGTGAAAGCAGGGACTAGCATATTTCATTATTCACAACAGCCAAAAGGTGAAAACAACCAAAGTGTCCATTAACAGATGAATGAATAAACAAATGTGGGCCATCTATACAATATTGTTCAGCCTTAAAAAAGGAAATTCTGACACATGCTACAACATGGATGAATCTGGACAGCATTATGCAAAGTGAAATAAACCAGTTACAAAAGGACACATACTGTATAACATTTTTGAAACAAAGTACAATAGTGGTTATTGGGCAGGAGGGAGGAGGGAGTGGGGAGTTGTTTAATGGGTAGAGCTTCATTTAGGGAAGATGAAAAAGATGGGTGGTGGCAATGGTCGCACAACAATGTGATGCCAGTGAACTGTACACTTAAAAATGGTTGAAAAGATAAATGTTATGACTATTTTACCACAATAAAAATAAAATCCCAAATTCTTACCATCACCTCTGGTTTCCTCTTCAATCTCACCTGCCATTCCCTTCCCCTCATTCACAGGGCTTCAGCCATAATTGCATCCTTGCTGAACCAAGGACACACTAAGCATGCACTTCCTGTTCTCTCTACCTGGCATGCATTTTCCTCTTTCAGGTCTCTGTTCAAATAGTCCCCACAAAAGCTTTCCTGACTATACTCTAGAAGGTGAAAAAAAACTTTACCCTTCTGAGTTTTTGGCCGAGACCCCTGTAATAAAAGACAGATTAACAAGAGGGAAACAAACAGATTTGTTAACATGTACGTGGTAGAAACGTACCGTATTTGCCGGCGTATAAGACGACTGGGCGTATAAGACGACCCCCTAACATTTCCACTCAAAATACAGAGTTTGTTATATGGTCGGCTGTGTGCGATTTTGCGAGTGTGGTAAAATCGCATAACAGCAAAATCGCATAACAGCCGAGCATACACCCAGCAGCGCTGCTGATGCCTGAACGGTATGTGGAATGAAGTGGGCGGGCATCGGGAGGCCACTATGGCACGGGGCAAGCACTATGGGCAGTCTATCTGAAGTGTACCTGGCGTATAAGACGACCGCCCACTTGGAGGCATATTTTTCAGGGCCAAAAAATCGTCTTATACGCCCGCAAATACGGTAGGGAAAAGTTAGTAATTCCCTGAGGTTGCTTACAATTCAGGCTTAAATACCATCCTAATGGGAAAGGGTAGGGGTGATGTAGACCTCTTAGGGGAGAGTAAATGATTTTTAGGAGAGATGAATTAGCCCTTAGAAGAATAGTGAGTTTGGATGTGGTGTTCACATCTATTCTCAAAACGGGAACGTATTTATGACAGTTGAGTTCGTTTTGGAGGATCTGCCTTTAGGCACATACGGGCAGGGGTTGGGGAGATGGAGGGACTCAGAATGCTTGTCCTTTCATTTGCTGTTTTTTAAGTACGTACAGCTCAAAATAATATACCAAAGCAGCCTATTTTGGAGCAGTACATCCTGAACATCTAAAGACATTTTAGGGTGGCATATTCCACTACCTTTCACTAGAATGTAAACTCTGTGCCATGAGCAACCCTGGCACATGATAGGTAGTAAATAGATGTTAAACAAATGTTTACCTTTTCTATAACTTTACACATTCTATATTGGAACATTAATTTCAAAAGACAAAAACCCTGGATTATTTAAGTTCTGTAGTATAAATTCTTAGCATCCAAAAGAAAAAAAGTGTACAAGGAACGTAAAGGCCCTTACAAAGGTTAATGTGGAGCACTGGAGGCCAGTTCCTCAAGAAGGAGGGAGTAGGGTGTCATCTTGAACTGTTGGCCAGCTGCCTCTATCTACTGCCCCTATGACTCTGTCCAAAAGAAGGACGAACCATCACCCTTACGGAGGGAATCTAACAACACTAACATGTTCCCAATGTCGATGTAAGAAACGTCCAAACCAGTAGAGAATTTTTATGAGTTTATTTGAGCCAAACTGACGACAATTTCTAGGAAGCAAAATCTCAACAGATTGAGTAATGCTCTGGAGAATGGCAGTTTTGCAGCCTTTTTGATACATTAGAATCAAAGGAGACCACTTCATAGACTGTAGAGGCCTGACCACTGCACTGTCCACCTGAAGCTGCCATTGAATAATATTATATGTCAACTATAATTTAATACATACATAATCATGGGATGTGGAGTATAGTGTGGGGATGGAGTCAATGGAATTGTAATAGATAAGTATGATATCGGGGGTGGGAGGGCAGTGGATGGGGGCGGGGGGTTGTTTCTGTGTGAAGGGTGAAAACGATAATTATTGCATTGTTCTGTACACCTGAAACTAACAATAAAATAAATTTAAGAAGAAATTACTGTTTATACAAAGAATACATTTGACACAAAAGGTACACTGGAAATGTCATTGTATGTTTTTTTAAATCTTAAAATGTATCACTGAATTTAAAAAAAGGAGACATAAGAAATCATTTCATTACATGAAATCATTGGTGGTAGATTAAGGGGGACAGGAGAAAGCAAAGCAGGGAAATCTCTGGGATTGGCTAATAAAACAGAGACACATGCTTCTTTTATATTGGTGGGTACAGGATAAACATTTACAGCACATAGAGATGGTATTGGGAAATAACGTAACAATGATGGGGTTCTGTGGTCTTGTGCTCCTGGTGAGTGGGTGTACCCTGAGGTATCTGGAAAAGATTTCTCTCACATTTCAAAGGTATGTTATTATTAGATGTAAAAAGACAATAGACAGGCTCACTTTCCTTTGGCAAGGAAGCTACAGGCTTAGGAAGTGACTACCTGCCATGGTTAGCTTTTAGTTGGGAATTTTTATGTTCAGACCATCTTATGTGAGCACTACGGGTCTCTGAGTTTATAGGGCCGGCCATGCAGGCCTCCTCAGAGATTGTCAGGTTTAGTATGTGGCCCCTTTTACGTCCATACTAAGTACCAACTATAAGCATTTGGGAAGGCCTACAGATGGGACGATAATGGGAAGCCTGGACCCTCTAGAGATAGTGGCCAAGCCTCACTCCCAGACAAGACCCCATCAAGCACAGCCAAGGCTACGGGGCCAGCCGCAGGCCTCTCTGGCCGGCATCTCTATGACAGGAAGCGAGAAAACCGGAAGCGGGGCTCCGCCAGCTGGGAGAGACAGCCAGCGGCGGGACGTGGAGGGGCGGGGCCACGCCGCCGACTCCGCTGGGGACTGAGCCGAGATGGCGGCCGCTGAGGGGGTCGGGGAGGCTGCGCAGGGCAGCGAGCCTGGTCAGCCCGAGCCGCCGCCGTCCCAGCCGCACCCCTCGCCGCCCCAGCAGCAGCAGCAGCCCCAGCAGGAAGACGTGATGGCGGCCGAGGCGGGAGAAGCGGTGGGGTCCCCCATGGACGATGGGTTCCTGAGCCTGGACTCGCCTACCTATGTCCTGTACAGGTAACGCCCACAGCCGGGCCTCCGACCTGTCTTAGAAGGCGGGGTCTCCACCTGGGCGGCGGTTCCGGGTCGGCTTCTCCGGCCTCTGCGCGCCCGGCCGAAGTTCCCGCGGCCTCGGTGTCGCGCCGGCGGGAGGCGCGCTCGGCGGGGTCAGGGCCCGCCCGCGGCCCTCGCGCTCCTGGCGGGGTTTGCGCTTCCCTGGGCCAGTGCCGTCACCGAGAATCACCGGAGAGGCTGGGCAGCCAGCCGCGCGGAAACTACAGAACGCCGGACAGCACTCTTTCTTAAGCTGTTTAGGTGTCGTGATTAAGGAATTGAAGAAATCTCCCGCTTTCTTGCACGCTCCCACAGAGATAGCCTGATAATGTGAAGACCGAAAGGCTTGGGTGCATTTTGATACCCTGGCAGGAAACGATTTAACTAAGGTCCAGATTGGCTCACTTTAAAAACCAGGTGTAAGGGGTTCCCGTGGTTGGTTCTGCTGAAATGGAGAGAGCTACTTACTGTAAGATCTTTAGGACTGGGACACTTTAATTCTACATTGTAGCCCCTAGCGTCAGCCAGGCATTTAGTAAGGCTATAAGAATGAAAAGATAGTTATCTGTTCCTTAAACTCTCTCATACAACCCTACATCTCCTCATACATAATACAAGTGATGTGTAGCAGGCAGTGTTGAGTGCTGCTGTAACTCCCTTACCTTTCCTCCCCATCTTTGCCAACTCCCAGTCCTGTCCCTATCAGTTCTTTGCTTTATTATAATAGTACTGGTTCCCTAGCTCCAGTTGAGCCTGCAGAGACAAGTGAGAAGTCCTTGGGTCTTGTTTTTTTTTGTCTTATTTTTTTTCTTTTGTTGGTCTAGGTAGAGCAAGTAGGTGGTTTACTTGCCTTGTTTTTATGCATGAGTGAAAGTCACTATCCAGATTTTGTTATTGGAATTACTGTTTTACTGATTTAAATTGGTTAGGGTGGCCCTATAGCCCTCAGACCTCTCTGAATTGTGAAATATTCAGCTTATTCACTTGGCTATGTCTGATTTCCCAGTGACTAATGACAGCCTTACCTTTCTCATGCCACTCCCCCAGGCTCTAGGTCTCACACCTCAGGTAATTGTTTCCCCTGTATTTCTTTTTATATACTGAACACAATTTTGAGATTGTGTGGACGCCACAGGATCTTTGCTGCCAATAGCTGATCAGTATAGAGAACTAAAAAATTGGTGAAAGGTAAAGAATATAAAAGAGTGATTAAAACAAATTTGATCACACTGGGCATTTCACACAGAAATGTTTGTAGGCACCCATTATTCTGCTATAATGTTATTTTAGCATTGATAATGAAAGTATTCATTGGATGCATACTATTATATGCTATATTTATAATATATAGCATATAAATATTTAAGCACAGTAATATATGTAGTATATCTGCTATAGACTAATGTATATACAGCATATATAGTATATTCACTGTATACTACATGCTTAGTATTATGCACATTTTGAGTGCTTGACATGTTAATCTCACTTAATCCTCCAAAGAGCCTTCTAAGATTGGTTGGTAATATTATCATGTCCATTTTATAAATGAAGAAACTGAGGCCCAGAGAATTTAAGTAACTTTTTCAAGGTCACACAACTAGTAAGTGGTAGAGCCTTTTTCAAGGTCACATAGCTAGTAGGTGGTAGAGCCAATATTCCAATTCAAACAGTTGTCAGATTCCAGAGCCTGCTCTCTAATGACCACTTAGACCACCTGTCAGTATAGTTAACTAATAGTGTTTACTTTGATTTTTAAAACGTTAGTTCGTAGTAAATGGTTACTCAGATTTTTTAAAATGCTGACTGACTCCAAAGAGTCTTGTTAAAACAATGAATTAGATTGATTCCTAATTTAAAACTATTGTGTACTTGCTGCAAAAACGTGTTTTTCCACTTATATAAAAACTTTAAATTTGAAAGCTATTAATTTATTAACTTATTTTAATTGGAAGATTATTCATATAATTTTTATTTTACAGTTTAATGTGTAAAGCAAAGTGGCAAAACTTGGTTGGTCATGAATAATCCAACCATGGTTACATTAAGATATTTATAAGCTACTATTAATAAGTATTTATAAGTATTAGTACTGTTCATAAGCATTAATGTGATTGTAATTGTTGCCATTTTTAAAAACACCAGAGTTCTTTTTTCTTATAACATGTTTGAATATAATCACTGAAAATATGTCTGTATTTCAGGGACAGAGCAGAATGGGCTGATATAGATCCAGTGCCACAGAACGATGGCCCCAGTCCGGTTGTCCAGATCATTTACAGTGAAAAATGTAAGTTTATTTTTATTAGGAAAAGGTCTGTAAGTCAAACTTAGTAGTCGAGTTGAAATTCACAGCTATATGGCTAGGTGGATGATAGAGTTTTGTCTACTAAAGAGCTAAATGACTTATGATAAGGTAACATTGTATTTTTTTGTAATTTTCATGATTAAAGTTTTATTTTGTGCAAAGAGTGGACGTATTCTAAATATAAGTAATGAATGTTACGTTATAATACATAATAGCTATTATGTGATTGTTCTTTTCATTTACTATTTAATCTGTATATAAGATACAATATAAATGAGTTACTGCTTTATTTAGAATAAACTTGGGTTGCTGAAACATGAGCATTTTGAAATATATTTTGGCAGTGAAATGTTAGGCTCAGTTGGAATACATTTACTGATATTAAAATGAGTGGATTATTTTCTTTGACAAAGTATCATTCTTTCATAATGAATGTGAACATGCTTTGTAAATTGAAGGTCATGCAAATGTTAATTGTTAGTTGTTCTTCTAGGAAAGAAATGAATAAAATGGAATGCTAGTTTTGTAGTGTGTGTGTGTGTGTGTGTGTGTGTGTGTATTTCTTTCAGTTAAGGCTTTGTTACAAAAGGCATTTATTGTTTTTTCTGATTATGAGGCAGTGCCAAGAAATGTTTGAAAGGGAAGGATAATAGTGTAAGGGCTTGTTTTACCAATTATGAATGTACTACTAAAAATAATTAACATGTGGAACTGCAGTAGAAATGAATAGATTAATAAGGACTCTAAAAATACATCATCAGTATAAATGGGAACTTAATATTTGATTAAAAAGACATCTCATACCTATATAAAAAAGATGGACTAATCAAATAATGGTTTTGTAAGTTGGCTGTGTATTTGGATAGAAGCAAAATTATATCCCTATCTCATATCTTACATGAAAATAAATTACAGATGAATAAAATTCTAAAACAAAACTATAAACATGCTAACAGCAAACATTAGAAAATAATCTTTGGGCCGGCCGAGTGGCGCGATGGTTAAGAACTGGCTTGGGACGCCAGAGGGCCCTGGTTCAGATCCCACATATGAGGGCCAGTGACACTGCTCTCCACAGCTAAGATGCTGAACAACAGCTCAACCTGGAGCTGGGCTGCTGTGAGTCACCGGCAACGGCGTAGGCTGCAGCCCCTTGTGGCAGTGGGTTGCCATGGGCTACCGTAT